AAATTATGACCATTGGCTAATGGTAAATTATGACCATTGGCTAATGGTAAATTATGACCATTGGCTAATGGTAAATTATGACCATTGGCTAATGGTAAATTCCAGATCACAATCAATACAGTACACATGCAAATATAAATCGAAAGTTTGAAATCCGTTTTGATTCAAATTTTAGACAAATGCCATCTACGAGCTGTTGCCTGGATTAGCGGCAATGGCTCAAAGTTAGGCGTGAACTAGCGTTTGCGTCACTAAGGAAGGAAGGTTAGGGTTAGGACGTTAAGATTAGAGACTATAGCAAAGATTGTCACTAATTTTATGTAAAATTTCGTTCCTGGAATTTTTAGTTAGTGCACCGAGGTCGATTTAGACACTAGGTTTTGGGTATTCTCGCTTTTCTCTTCAAAATTTGTGCTTGATTGGTTATTTCCTTTTTGGGAGTTCATATTACTCGCACTCGCACATGCTTGTTTCAATGTCACACAAAATCATGTATGCATAAATTGTGTCTATATACAGCATAAATAATACACTAACTACATTAAAAAAAATGAGAATTTTTTATTATATAAATTAATTTATATTTCAATTTAACTTTTGCCAAGATTGCTCTATTCAATAAAACGAGATACTGACCTATATAGATGTAATGTTTTTGTCGATTCTTATATGATAAGGCACAGCCTTCTTCTCATTTCTAAATATATCGTTATATGATGCGTCTATCATGACATTTTGGTTTAGTTCCATTTGACTTTACCTGAGATTGGGAAAACCTGTTGGCATGACGCATCTAGGAGGCTATGTGCATTAACGTGAACGGGGTATGTACGGATATATTTTTTTCCTTCCAAACAATCATTAGAAGAATGTACTTCTTTATTCGATTCTTCTTTTAGAATAAATTGCAGATCATTTTCGAATCTACTATATCGTTACCGTTACATTAGAACCATTTTTAACCATATAAAGGATAGCTACTTTGTCGTGTGTTCGAAATTACAATTACGTAATTTAAAAGTCACCTTACGATCTTAGCGTACTCATAAAAGAATGTAATGTAATAAACCATTGTGTGGTAAGGTACCGAATCTCTCATTTGCTGTTACATTCTGGATTGTTTTATAACTAGTATCGAAGCATAATAAATTACTCAATAAGAAGCTTTTGAAAGTGTTAGAAGAATAGAAATCCTGTTCATTATAACTTCTTATAATGCCAAAACAGGCATTGTCTCTTATCTTTATAGGAAAGGATCAAATTAGAAAGGAAATACAGGTAGCAATGGGACGGAAAACTACGTATAAAAGAAACAATTAATCGATACGTGTATAATCTAGAATCTACTGTAAATAGTTAAACTCAATAGTTGTACGTAAATATATCTCTTTTAGTAATAATAAATGATGAAAAAAAAAATTATAATGAATACAGGAAATAACTAATTACGTACTAGGTACGTACGTACGTACGTACCTGATGCGTACTTATGTACGTCCCGAACATTAAGTCGAAAAAACGTGAAAATTCCAGAATTTCAAGTGATCGACGCCACATGTAAACAATATCCAAGTTTAGGATTATTTTCATAATAACGATAACGCCCATTTTAAGTACGTACGTAGTATAATATCCATGTGGGTCTCTTATATAGCCATATACAGTAATAGTTCTATGAAAATTCTACGTAATACAAATATCGATACAGTAAATTATATATACAACATATCATAATTTTATTAAAGCTTTTTAGAGATAAGGTCGAAGATATTTTATTTCAATGTTGTTGATATATGTTTAATAAAAATTATCACCTTTATGTCAATCAATCGACCATTCTACGTTTGTTACATCGTTCGGTTTACAATTAATCTGACTGACCAATTTTGATTCATATGATTTGTGTTACAGATGATCCGTGAGACCGAATCAGTCTTTAATTGCGACCAGTCTTGAGAACAGTCCAAATTGGTCTTTATAGATAGTTAAAAAATGATTATTTATTCGATTACATAAATTATATAATTTAAACCCTACTGTTAACTTATCAAATGGTTAGGATAGGATCGGACACTGAATAATCTATTTATTTTGCATTCAGGCACAAACATATGAACTTTGTTATAGTACGGGCTAAAGTTGCGGCTGTTAGAACATAACTACTGCACAACTGTAACCGGAGTAGCTATCCAGATTTTTTATAAGACGTAGATGCTGTGCCTAAGATTAATACCTGCGTCAAGTGTCAGCTGCATAATGATCATTTGACCGGATTAACAGACCAGCCTAAACTATAGTATAATCTTGATCCTAACTCAAACCCTAACTCAAACCCTAACTCAGGCCAAAGCGACATCTGACGCGTGTTATCTGAGGTACAAAATATACACTTGAAAATAACGGTAACTTTATATAAAGGTGCCTATTTTTATTCGTTGATTAAATGCAGTCAACCGATGTAATGGACACTATTACACTGGATTTAATGGTTTAACAACCAAAATTGAAATATATAGTAAAATCGTCCTTCAGAAAAATATTATGCAATGGAGTGTACCGAAGTTTTAAGACAAACCGGTTATTAACAATTCGATAGTAAACATGCATATTATGTATAACGGACATTTTTGCCAGCCCACTTGCTAAATTATATTATCACATAATCTAGTGCAGCTCATTACGTCGTGAGCAGTTACGTATATGACTGTGATTTACTAACGTTAATGGTTATTAACCAATTTTTGGGTTAACAGCGGAGCTTAATGTTTGCCATGATTTTTCTGGCATGTAACAATAGTGAGGATACGTAACCCAAAACCTTCTACGTATCAAAATTGTAATTTGCCTAAAATCTACAGTCTGCCCTCCATACAGTCACTCTTCATATAGTCACTCCCTCTTTATAAGCACACTAATTTTTAGAACAAACTTGTATAAAACATAAGAAATTTGACCTTTATATAGGCACAATTTCTTATAAGTACATAATTTCTTGGAACCGAGGGCGTGACTTAGAGAGGTTTGACTGTATTGTCAGTTTAAAAAATTATAATATTTTGAATCTTTAATTAATAAAGTGAATGTATATAAAAAATTGTAGTAGCTTATCGTTATGTTCTGCTGAAATCTGAAGTCCCCATTAAATCTACAATATCTATATATACTCAAATTCACATTGTTTTATTAATAATCACAAAAGGGCTCCTAGTAAAATATATAGAACATAAAATTTTACTATGCATCCCCCGAAAATAAGCATCCCCTGGCCCGCAATATACCAAATTTGACCTGCATTATAATGAACTTGACCTGCATTACATGTAAAAAAGGGATGCTTATTTTTTGAACTATACAGTAATGATAAGTTGTCGGAAATTATTCATAATGAGTAAATTTTCTTGATTTCTAACAAATGTTGTAAAGCAAGTTATTCCGTTTCCATGATAGAGTTGATAGGTCGCGAAATATTAGTAATGTTTTCTTTATAATTATCTTCAATTTTTAGTATGAGACTTTTATACCCTTCGATTGCGACTTACCACTTAAATATTTTTGACTGATAATACGTATTAGCGCTTTTTTTTTTTAATAAATAATTTTTTTCATAACCTCTATTATAACATCTTTTGATATTATTGTCATTTATTATCTATAATTATATTCTGTAGAAAAAGATTAAATATTTTATTTCAATTTTTTTTCTTTTTTCTTTTTTAGTTGACAATTGATTATTTATCATCGCTTCTAAAATTTAAGAAACAGAACAATTCTATAAAGGAATATAAAGAAAACATTTGTTTGAATTCAAGATTTAATTCAAGATATATACAGATTAATCTATCCATACACGTCTCTTTCTTTTGCATGGTTAAATTATCATTTGTTCAATATATATACATTCATCCATGAATATTCAATATACATAAACTCTGAATACATATACATAATATACATAAATGAATATACATATATATATATTTTTTTTTTAAAAAAAAAACTGTTATCTAATATTATCTAATATTTCCTTGCTTACTTCATGCGTATTTGCATTTCTCATTTGTTTTACAGGCAAATGGTGATGCAAAACAATTAACACACGAACGACTAATACAATCAGTCAAAGCTTTGTATTGAGATTTGCTTGCTAAACCATCAAATATTTTTGAGTTAACTGTCCAGTATTTCGTCCCTCCAATAGGATTGTGAGCTGTCATCCTCACTGTCTCACCATTAATTCGTACATGAATATCATGTGCCCACGATACAACGCATTGTGAGATTCCACAGTAACTATCTGTATTACCTCTTTTACAAGATTTACTATTCGGATAATTATGACAATTGTTGGTGATAATATCACTAATATTGTAACTATTGTCGTTTATTTTTAATTTAGTAGGTCCATCAGTAAAAATTTTTATATTTGATGGACAGAACTTGGTTTGCCGAGATTTTGGTGTCAAGCTTAAACATTTAAGATCAGTTACAATAAACATACTTCCATCATTTTTGATAGCATGACAAATAGGTTGATTGGATGAATTTGGATTGGGTGTTGTTGTAGCTTCACTTTTTACTTGTGTAGTGCTTGAAATTGTCATATTTATATTCATTGTATCGGTAGCTACTGTGTCCGGAATAGTCTCTGTAATCGTCTTCATAGTCGATGTGGTACTCAACATAGTCTTTCTGTCTCTTTCCTTAATCAGTGTAGTGTATGAAATAGGTTTTTCAGCCCTATTCTGAATTGATGGGATGTATGAGTTAGGATCTGCATTTATGTCAGTGTCTGAAGCAGGATTAAGATCCGCAATTACGTCCATGGTCGGTGTGGTATCCGACATAGTCCCTGTAGTCATATCCATAGGTAACGTAGTGTCAGAAGCAGGGTCAAGATTCTCAATTACGTCCATGGTCGGTACGGTATCTGAAGAAGTTCCTGTTGTCGCGTCCGTAGTTAATACAGTACTTGAAGCGGAATCAAAATCTACAATTACTTTCATGGTCGGTGTGGTTTCTGAAGCAGTTCCCGTAATCATTTTAGTCATGTTCATAGTTAACGTAGGTTCTATCTCTATGTTCTTGATCGGTGCGGTGTATGAAGCAGTCTCTGTATTCATGTTCATAGGTGGTGCAGGATCTGTAGTCATTGTATTCATTGTAGTTTTTACGTTGGTTGGTGTAGCTTGTCTATCCATGTCCATTGTTGGTGCAGGATCTGTAGTCATTGTATTCATTGTAGCTTCTACGTTGGTTGGTGTAGCTTGTCTATCCATGTTCATTGTTGGTGCAGGATCTGTAGTTATTGTATTCATGGTAGGTGCGTTGGTTGGTGGAGCTTGTCTATCCATGTTCGTTGTTGGTGCAGGATCTGTAGTCATTGTATTCATTGTAGTGTTTAAATCAGTATTTGTTACTACGTCCATGGTAGGTGCGTTGGTTGGTGTAGCTTGTCTATCCATGTTCATAGTCGTTATAGTATTAAAAATAGTCTCCGTAACCACTGTTGTCTTAACTATAATAGTCTGTACTACGTTTAAAGTTGTTCCTGTGGTTAATTTCTTTTTTTCTTTATCCGGTTCTGTATTAATGGCTGATGTAATTCCCGTCACTGTGTTGGTAGTTGTCGTGTCTAAAATATTCTTAGTAGCCAACCTAGCCTGTTCTGTGTTCAAAACAGTCTCGGTATCTGTACGAGTAGTTAGTGCAGTGTTTTGTTCTCTAGCAACGTTCGTAGTCTCTATAGCCATGTCAGTAGTGCCCATTGTATTCTTGTCATATGCAGTGGACCTTGTGTCTGGCTCTAAAATAGCCTTGGTAATTATTATAAACTTTGTAATTAACTTCTCAGTATTTGTAAGAGAAGTTGGCATGGTAATCTGTGTTGTAGTAGTTGTTGGATCATTTGTACAAAAGGTATAATCTGTTTGTTGATATGTCGTATTCAAGCTATAAGAATTCAACGAATACGTGCTGAGTTGCTCTGTACCAGCAGCAGCGAAAACAAAGAGTAATGCTAAAAGAAAGAATATACGCATGATTGAAGAAAATATAAGAATGTAAATTGATGAAGATAAAGGATAGCGGTTGAAATATATGTTTATAAAAGATAATGAATGCTTTGTCCATATTTTGTAATATATACAAATATGCGATTCTAAAACTGTAAAAATTTGCCTTCCACGTTATTGTTATTATTAGTTGAAGTCCCGAACCGCTAATTTCACTTTGCATGCTTTCTCTTGGTAAATTTATGTGATCGATAAAGTAACCATTTTTAGTTTCGGTTTTTTTGCCGTTTCAGAATCTTAGCATTTTAGCGTTTCATCATATTAACAACTTATGCAAATTATAAATCTTCTACAGGAGGAGATGTGATTAACTAAATTAGGTTTTAGAGGGCATATATCCATTTAAAAATGAAGGTTCTCTTTGTTATTGACATCCCATCTTTAGACCATGCATGTGCACATATATCTTTTAATTTGCCTAGAATTTGTCTTCGATATGCTTGATTTTGATTATTTTTGGATATATATACCATTATTTAAGAATCTGTATATACTATATTCCTCAATAAATAAGCATATATATATAAATTTATGTAATAGTTATATCTTGGGCAGTTGAATATGAATGAAATTTTGTAGTAAAATATAATTGATTTAGATTGGCCATGTAAGCAGCCGATTACGTTAATTATACTTTACTGCAAAATTTCGCTTATATCCAACCGCACAGGATGTAACTGATTTATCCACTACCTTCCATGTTATGCACTTTTCATATACTTCGCATAAAAACCCTTCTCGAGAAATATAATAAAATTTTAACGTTAAACAATTCTCTGAAATAAATAATAACGTATAGCAAAAATAAGCACCTGATGACGTATATCAGTAGAAATAAGTACATAAAAGTGTCATGTGGACGAAGTTGGCCAGGGGATAAATAAATAGCATCTTGATCCGTATGTGAATAAGCGGAAACTTCGTTTCTAACGGATCAGGATATTATTATTACTAATCGTAATAATCCAATGGCTTGACATTTCTAATATATAAGAGGTTTCTTCCAATAGCCTTGTGTAGTATATTTTTGAAGAACGTTAGCTTATTCTTAAGCTTTATATATTCAATTTTCTACAACTTGTCATTATTACTTGAATAAAGCATTTATACATGCTTTAGTGTCTCTATAGATAGAATTATTTAGGCAGCGAAGACATTCTTTTTTTTTTAGTTATTTTCTATAAATTCAACTATTCTTTAAAAAAACTATTTATTGATATATAAGTTTTTTTGTATTCTTGCATTTTTAAAAAATTTATTAAAACGAAAATGATTTATTTTGCCACAAATACTGTAGCTTATGGGATCTATAATAAAAAAGAACCTCTAAGATACTATGACGAAACATATGAAGAGAAATAATTTCGTCGACATCTATTTTGCCTACAGTAATTTCGCTGATAAAGTCGGTTCCATTCTAAGTATGGTTAGCCTAATTAATCGTTGGTATTGGCTAAATGTAGATTACTAGTGAAATAGCTGTTTGCGAATTCAAACAGATCTATTTATCTTATAGTTTATATTATATTATTATCCTTAAAGATAAAAAGGAAAGACAATTTTACCTTTAATAGAATTCTTTATAATTTAAAATCTTGTTCCTTTTTACTTGTAAACAGAATTGTATGTTCTTAATTTGTAAGAAAGATACATTTACCTAAAATTACCAGCTAATGCATGTAAGATCTATTTCAGATACTAATTTTGGTCATGTGCACCTCCAAGTACCGAAAGTTATAATTTTCGACGTTTTGGTATATAAATAACCTAGTACATACAGGTTCATATTTAAAATTCTTGGTTGAAAACCACGGGAACATGTATACAATTAGATTATTCACTATACAATAAATACATTATTGTTCATATAAATAAGAATCGATTAATGGTTTTAAAAAAAAAAACTCTTGTAAAAATGCGAATAATTAATTGAAGTTTAACATTCGCCTAATATTTCAAAGGTCACAGATATAGATAGAAATACAAAAATCCTAAAGAAAGTGAAAAACCTAATAAAGTCATGACCTTATCTAATAAAAATATCAAAGAAAACAGTGACCTATGACCTGTCCAAGGAGAATTTAAGGAAAGCGAAGATTTATTAATATGCGACCAATTCAACAAGAATAAGAAAGCGGAAAATTTTAAATAAACGAAGATCTATTAATGTCACGACTTGTTTATTGAGAATTTTTTAAAAATGAAAACCTAATAATTTACGATTTGTCTCATCCAATGAAACTTTAAAGAAAGCGAAGCATTAATAAAATGTCATAATATAGTTATTTGGCAAGCACCATCATAGTAAACTGCCGGATAATACTGTTTATTGAGAATTTTAAAGAACGGCCTAATAATATTGTGACTCCATCAAATTGTAATTTTAAAGAAAATGATTAAAGTAATGTCATCCTTATTCAGTGACATAACAATATCCTGGCCCAGTCAAATAATAATTTTTTAAAGGAAGCGAAAGCTTAATATCATGATCTCGTCCATTGGGAGTTTTTTTAAAAAAAATGAAGACCTAACCCTATAAAAAAGTTTGTTCAATTATTGTAGGCATTGTCCAAAAAAATGTTCGGAACGGAGTCGATTTTCCGAACAGGGTTTATTTTTGTACTGTTTTCATATCGATGTTTGTACGGGATTAAAAATTATCGTATAAAAAATGCATAAAAAATTTATGAAAAATGTATAAAAACATAAACATCCAATAAACATCCTTTAAAATGTTCGGAACGGAGTCGATTTTCTGAACAAAAAATTGGATAATTTCAGAAGTTTCCGAACAATTTCAAAACATCTAATTACTAATTACAACGTTAAAAACAAGTGAAGACCTAAATATACAAGTAGATAATATAAATGAAATAACTGAACCGGCACACTTTTTAATAAATATAAAGAGTAATACGATTTAGTTAATAAACCAGGAATAGTTATCAGAATGCACCGTGGCACATTCAGGCCAAAATTATGCAAAATTCTGCTAACGAAACCACGACCGTTGATGACTCGGTAAATTTCTATTTCGATCTTTAAAATTTCTCACAAATCAATTTCGCTCACTAGGTAGTGCGCAACTATACGATATTTCAAATATCGCGGGCTCCACTACCACCACCACCACCTCTTCCTCCTCCTCCTTCTCTATGCCAAAAAGTTATGTCTATGCATGAGTTTCAAGTTCAAAGCAGAAGGCAGACCTTGAGCGGCAACAAAAGTGTCTCCTCACTAAGTGTCTCCAACACAAGCTTGTGGAAGTGGTATCATCTTCAAGAGACCCAGCTTGCATATTATACTGAAACAAGCAAGTCACAGAATAGTTGTGGAAGTTGTAGTTGCTACAGGGACAGACCATATCAATTTGCATATGATCTTATTAAATATATTCTTAAATTTGATATTGCAAAACTCATGGTTCTCTCATAAGATGGTTTCTCCAATAATGAAATTGAACTTTGTCAAAATATCCTTGCCAACAACACTGTCTTTTGTCTGCCAGATATAAGAAAAGTGGGCAGCAAGATTTGTTTAGATTTTATTTATCTTTTATTTATCTAATAATATTGATTAATTAATAATATGCTATTGACAGCAGAGTGAACAATCATTATTATACAAACTTTTCAAATTTGAAATCCATGATTCAGAGTCAATCTACCCAATAAAATTATGAAATTGGTTAATTACATGAAATTAAGCAACTTATTGTAATTGGCTATATGTATGCACATGAGAATTTGCCAATAAAATAATAAACATTTTAAAATTTTTTTACTAAAACAAGAATATTTCACAATCTAACAGGCAGAATTTAATAATTTTATATTATTCAATTCATCTCATCAAGACAAATATAATAGTATAAACATCATCAAATTCTATCTGTTATATTATAAAATACAAATGATAGTGAATATTAGTATGGTAATATAAAGAACAATGAAGAAATATTTATTAATAATTATTATTTAATATATAAGTAGAGTGTGGTGACTTAAAGTAGTAGTTAAGTTGTTATAGTAGCAGGTCTAGAGTTTGAATCTACCAAAGATGTTTTAAAAAAATAGACCTGTATATTA